GACACGAAATGTCAGCTTTCCTGCTCCTCTGATGCTGCCTGGCCTGCTGCGTTCCTCCAGCTTTACGCTGTGTTATCTCTGCAAACACTTTCACCTTCTGTTTTGCACTGATTTGCTGGGTTGTGTATCATTGAGCATGGGGATATTTGCAGAATCTTCACCCGTATTAGTTTCACAAATAGCTAATACCCTTGCATGACTGGATGTGGTAGGATTGATCAGCTGGTTGTAGAATTGCTTAGCTCTATCCACGAAACACCGCTTTGACTTTCTACCATGCAGTTGTTCTCAGCTCCACTGGGTTGGCATTTCTTTTATAGGCACTGCTCCTGGCATGGTCTACTAAACTTCACAATGAGTTGTTCCTGTTTCTTGATGGTAATGGTTGAGTGGGAAATATGCTGGATCATGAAGTTATAGACTGTTGTTAAATACAATACTGCTGCTGCTGACCCACACATTCTCAAGGAAACCCAGTTTGGAACTGCTGAATCAGTAGAGAGTTTTTTCAAAGTGTCACACAACATGATTGAAAGTGCCCTGAGTATGGATGGAATGCGGTCTCCATAAGAACTGTGCGCTAGTTTTATCCTGAACACATCAGTAGGTGGAATGACAAGGGCACAGTGAAGCAAGAGTTTTGTTGATTCCTTTCACACCTGCTGAAGGTCCAATCTGGCAGTAGTGGTGGTACTGAAGCACTCTTGGCTATCAACAGTGAAGTTCCCACAAAAGTACATAACGTCCCTTTACTATTTTTAGTGCATCTTCCAAATGGCATTCAACATGGAGGAGGGAAGGATTGACTGTACCATTCGTGAAGGAACAGCTGAGGAGACTTCCTTTTGGGAAAGAATCTGTTTGCCATTGATCACTTTCTACATTTATCAGAAAAGCAGTGTTGCTTTAGATTTTAGATTTCAGCTCCTCTGGGAAAACATATTGCAGCTTTATCAGAATGTATCCCTCGAGTCCTCAATAATTCCAGCTGCTCTGCCTGAGGCTCAAAATGGCCCAGCTGTCAGTATTTGTATACTGGCTAAAGGTTCATTGCAAGCAATTGAAAGTGATTGTTAAGGCATTAGTTAGGATCCCAGGTCCACCTCTATTCAGGATACAACGAGCAGATTGGTCCCAAGGACTGTTTAATCTGTTCATTCCTCCCAGTGTATAAAAAAAATCAAAGTATACAAACAGTATACCATTGGACATACAGTAGAGCTGTGTGTTACTGCTGCCTTTTCCAACTGACTATACCCATGTGGAGATTTAATTACCATCAACCAATCTAACAACCCATGTTGGCGGGGGTGGTCTTGTGATGCAGTGGTAGTATCCCTACCTCTGAGCCAGGAGGACCAGGCTCAAGCCCCTCCAGCTTCAGTCGCGTGTAATAATACACTGAACAGGCTGATTCGAAAATATCCAAAAGAACTTACATAAATCATAAGAGCATTCAGTCCCTCACAGAGTATGTAATGTATTAATGTCCAGAAACAAAGATTTTTCTGAGTAAACACAATATTCATCCTAAACAGAAATATTTCCTCATATACTGCAATTTCAATTCGTTCACAATCTTCCCAGGCAAAACTTCCTTGAAAGTGTTCTCTGTGCTAGCCCTGAACTTGCATCTTTCTCTAGTTTCTCAAGCGCCCTTCTCCTCTCATGCTAGCTCCAAACTCACCTTGTCACGAGCAACCCACCACCTCTTGTTTTCTCAACCCTATTCCCACTAAACTGTTGACCATTTAACATGCTTTCCTATTAACATGTTCACTGATACAGTCAACAGTTCTCTCCTTCCAGCGACTCTCCTCCTCAACTTTACATCTGCCATCAACACCGTTACAAAGTTAAATTGTCCCTCGTCATCCTTCTTTGTCTGTCCACAGCATGACAGGGGGTTAGCCACACCATCCTTCTCCCATGCCTCTCTGCTGCAGTTAGCTGGGTGGGACTGCATTCATTGGTCTGGTACTATCTATCTAATCGTAGTTAGTTGCATAACTTCTACTCACTCTGTTAACTATGATGTCCTCTATGGATCTATCCTTGCGCACTCCTCCACTTCTCATTTACGCAATGCCTGGTGACATAATCTGAAAACAGTATTTCTGACATGTACGCTGATACCATCCAACTCTATCTCACCAACAACCCTCCTGACTCTTCCATTGTTGCTAAATTATCAGGTTACTTTTCTAACATCCAGCACTGCAATTAAATATTGAGAAGAGCAAAGCCACTGTTTTAGATCCTCTCCACAAATTCCATTCCCTATCTAGTGACTCCATCTGTCTCTCTGAGAACTATAGATTGAATCAGACAAAATCTTTATACCAGAGATGAGTTTTCAACCACATATCCAATGCCATCATTAAGAATACTCACTTAATTCACCATAGCACCGCCTCTAACTGAGGTCATCAGCTGCTGGAATTCCACCCAGGCCTTTGATTCCTCTGGATTTGACTATTACTATGCACAAGTCAGTGACCACTATTCTACCCTCAATGAACTTGACGTCATTCAAAGCACACTGCTATGGTCTAACTTGCACAACGTCCCCCACATCCATTACCCTGGTAGTTGCTGATCTACATTGGCTCCTAGTGAATCAAAGCTTCAGTATTAAAATTCTCATCCTTACCTTCAAATCAGTCCATGGTTTTGCTCTTTTCAATGGCTGTGATCTTCTCTGGCCACGTAGCCCTTCATAGTACACGTGCTCATCTAAATCTGACCTCTTGAGCATCCCCAATTTCAAACACTTCATCATCAGTGCCCATGGTTCCTGGTTCCTAGCCTCTGGAATTCACTCCATAAACCATTCACACTTTTCCTCCCTTCTTTCAAACCATTGTTTCAAACTGAACTCTTTGAACAAGTATAGAGATAGTAGGATCTGCCGATGTTGGAGAAACTGAGATAACACAGTGTAAAGCTGGATGAACATAGCAGGCCAAGCAGCATCAGAGGAGCAGGAAAGCTGACGTTTCGGGT